ATTTGAGAAGGTAGGTGTTTTTTCCTGTCATGAGCGAGGCAACCACACTCAACACTCAAAGTCACTTAACAGTAGGATCGTCTTTAGAGCACAGCCACGCAGCTGTCTGTGAATCCTGTATGGCGACTTCGAGATTGTGTTACAGAGTGTGCCAATATCAGTGTGCGTGTTAGATCACTCCAAATACGAACGCCCGTGGGGAAAATTGTGGCAAAGTCGCAGCTTGGGCACACTAATGAAAATAAAGCTTATCGAAGTAGGTGAACTCATAGGTCCGTGTTCCAAAATTTATGGGCACAGGTCAGCTGTCACCGGGTAGGCTAAGGCAGACATAATATTCCAGCCATTTCTCTAGCGGAAGGAACGTTAGCCTATTCTCTCCCTTAATTGATATTCTGCAACTGAATCAAGCTCTGCTGATTGCTGACCAGCTCACACGTTCCCCATATGTCTCCAGATTGCTAAACTCAGAAATGTGAGACTGCATCACTGAGTTAGCTTGAGGACAGCCAACCTCAGCAGTGGTTGCTAGACTATTTGTTCCTGCAAAGAGCAGACAGATAAAAATCAACAGTTTGAAAACCTGTATATTTTCACAATTTTCTATGAATTTGAAATGTGACGATATGAAAGTTATTGTCTCAAATTTAAGGCATGACTCAAGGCTTAAGCTAATTTCACTGGATAAACATCATTAAGCAGTTTAAATTTGCCAGAATAGGTGAAATATACGATGGAAGAATTTTATTTTTTCCTTCTGTTTGTCCTTTGGTATCCATCCCAGTTCTTATTTGCTAATGAACAGCAGAAACAAAATTATGGATATAGTTAGTAAAGATTAACCTCAGGTTAGAAAAGCTTGTATATTTTAAGTATCAACTGTGTATTAAAAATTGAGTTGTTAAAAATGAAAAGCAGAATGTAGAATTTCCTCTGTCATCTCAGAGTCAAGAGCTAAACTGCAACTTCTTCAGCCACTTCAACCATTGTAACTCAAAGACATGTTCATATCTACATTTTGTTTTATTTTTGGAAAAACTATCAAATACAATGCCAAAGACCCCCAAATGCATGTTGCTATTTTAAGAAAATATCAAGGTATATTCCCATGTGCAAGGTGCTGAGTTCTTCTAAGTATATTAATCATCCCAACAACCTTATAAAGCAGGGACAGTTTTCATTCTCATTTTACAGATGAAAACCCAGAGGTTTATAAAGAGGTCAGTGTCTTGTTCATTGTCCCACAGCCCATCTGTGGATTTGAACCCAGGCAGTCTTACATCCTGGAGCTCAAGTCTTAACTTTCTGCTATATTGATCCCTCAGTAATATTAAATAAATTCTTATCATGGAATCCGGTGATATGTTTCATGCACCTTCAACACTAAGAATATTTATTAAAATAGGAGAATGGGTACCATGTTTTAAACATAAATCCATTAAAACAGATTGTATCTGAGATTGCTGTTATGACAGATTGAAAAGTAACATATATACAAATACATTTAGTCAATTTAATAAAAGGGACATACTTTTTTAGTAACCTACCTTTTATTATGTAAAAGGGGAGAATATTCTAGGTTATTCAGAGTAATTAGGGGTCTCATATGTGTTTACATGGTTAGCAAGTGTAAATTATGGTGACCGGCTAAGGACTTGCAAACAGCTGAGATATGATGATGGATCATGGTGTGACTTCCTATGAGATTCTAGATTTTTGCTGGGAATATTTAAAAAGTAAAGGATGTGGCTTTCCCATTGGGATTATACTTAATCAGTTTGCTTTCTGCTCTCAGAGACAGAATTCTCTAGTTTCACTCACCTAGAGAAAACCATACTATGCTTAGTATTTGCGGTAGTGAAGAAAATCACCACTTTCCTCATGGGAAGCATTTGGTGAAAACTGCATGTAATTTCTCAGCAAAATCTGATTCGTTAATGTAACTTTCAAAAGGAAAACCAAACAACAGAACAAAAGAGATCCTATATAATTTAATAATCTCAGTACCTAGCCATGTACAACAGTAGCCTCCCTTTCTCATTAAAATCAAAGAGAAAGAGCTCTTAGTTTGAAGATGTTACCATAAAACAAAATAAATTGTTCTAAAATATTTTGGAGGAATTATGGGGAAATTTTTCAGGAGATACAAAGCCTTTCCTTTAACGTATTGTCTTGCGCTGTTTTTGAAATCATCCCTTCCCTCCATGATGATATAGGGGCCATGAGCCTTGGTCACTTGTTTCATACGGTAGCATTTGAACAGAGCTATCACTTACTGCATGTTTGCTCTGTGTCTCAAGAAAATAAAGCCTCGAAATGAGTAATGCTTTATTACCGCCGGAGTCTACTGAAAAGCAAATAATATTCCCAGGACTAGAATGAAATCTTACTGAGTGTTGGTGAAGGAAAGGAAAAGAAAATGTAGAGGGGGAAAAAAAAAGATTTCCAGAATTTTATTAGGCAGACAGCTGAAACAGAGTCAAAGGAAATGATTTGAAAGTGTTGCTTGAAATAAAGTTTTCCTTTTCTGCTCATCAATTAAATAATTAGTACACAATTCTTCCCTTTCTAGCAATGCTGAAGTAAGGGATACAAATTCTTGACTTACTACTAAAGGCAGCATCCAACTTATGAATGGATTATGTTACCAAAATGCATTTGTTAGATGGTCATGTGGGACCCACATGCCCTTTCCCGTAGAATCAATGTTATAAATCACCGTTTGGTTTTAAGGCTGGTCCACATAAGCACACTGAAAGTGCACTGCTGCTCCTCAGCTATCCTACTGTATGTATTAGCCTGACGTCTGAGGTCTGAGCTGGAGGTAATTTACTTTGAACTAGAGGAGGGAGGAGGAGACTTTTTCCTTTTCCTGGGCACATGGCAACTTGAGGATATGGTGACCGTATCTTGTGAATGAAAAACTGTGGCGCATGACCCACCAAAGGAATTTGTTTCTTATGACAATAAAAGAATTGAAAAATAAAAACATTTTCTCCCAAAATATTCTACTGATATAAGGAGATGCTGTTTGGAATCAGTACCGCCCCAGAAAACCCAGTAGCTGCAGATGCTCTACACTAGTAATACTGGAGGAGAGAAAGTTGATGAGTTTTGCTTTGTTTGGTCTGGTCTGGTTTGAAAGCGCAGCTTGATGCAGGAAGCCCAGGAGGCTGTTGTAACTGACCAGCAGGGAGATGACGGGGTCTGAAATTAAGCCAAGCCAGAGGGACCAGAGAGCAGAAGACCAATTTAAGACAGGTATGAAGGTGGAAATATCAACACTCCATCTTTTTGGTGTGAAAGCCAGGGAAGAGACAAGTCGTTTGGGGGAGCTGAATGGGTGTACAGACTGGCGGTGATGTTGGATCAAAATCCTCATGGTGAAGGAAAATGAACCAATTAGCAGGGAAGATGAGCACCCAAGGGCAGTTCTGTCATCCATTCTTGTATTACACAGCTCCCTTCTCTTCTCTACTTTGGACTTAACAGATTCTCTAAAAAGCACTGAGATTTTGGCATTTGATCTTCACAACTATCCCAGGAGAGAGGAATTGTCCCTGTATTATAAAGGTGACAACAGAGAATCAGACAGGTTAAGTGACTTGCTCCAGATAATGGTTAAATGGCGTTGAACTTATATGGGGGAGCTCTCTCTGACCAGTACTCTTTCATTACCTAGTCTTGCTACCTTGTGAGTCCACAACTTCTCCTTCAATTCAATTTGATTCAATTATCACCTAAATTCAGAAAAAGCTGGATGGTTCCCTACAATACAACATGGCAGATAATGTCCTGGATTCTAGGAGGAGAGAGAACAAAGACCTAGGCTCCACCCGGCGGAGGTCTCACTAATGACGTCGGCTTACAGGGATTTGAGAGCAAGGAGACCTGTCCTGAGAAAGAACCACCTAAACAAGGAGAGAAGTACATAAGCTTGATTCTGGGGGACGAGCTGAGCAGTATTTCCAGTAGAATCATCCACAAAACCTTGCTGTGCCACTAAGGGTGGGGAAACTGAAACTATCAGTAAAACGTCTATCAAACCCCGAGATGCAGGCAGTGCTGCTTCAGCCGTGCTTGGCTCCTGTGGTGGTGAAGAGAATGCAGACACTGAAACCTAACAGACCTGGGCCTGAATTTCCGCTTAGGTGATTATTAGCAGCGTGACTGTAGGCCAGTCATTTAACCTCATGTGAAGTGGGTATAATGCTGTAAGAACTAGATGAGGTCTATGGAAATAAAAAAACCAACCTAGTGTCTAGTACATTGTGGATACTCAATACATTTTAGCTATTATTAGTATATTTAGTATTATTAGATATGGCTCACCCCCCATTTGCATGGCAAATGGGACAATTTAACCATGTTAAGGACCCCAGTTTATCAGAGGTGTGGGGCCCAAAGGGAGATAGCAGATACAGCAGAAACAATGCCTTTTAAGTGGACTAATTCTCCGGGGGTTGGAGTAGGGTGCTGGCAGCGCTTAGGTGAGCTGAGATAGTTAGTAGTTGCAGCAGAATCCAGAGGAAACCACAGACCTCAGCAAAAGTTAATGGTGATGATGCCTAAAGAATAGAGTCAGAGTCAGAGTCAGGCAGAGGAGAGAGGAGGGGAAAGGGGAGAAGTCACATGGTAACTCATTCATGACTACCTTTGCAAATTCACTCAACTACTCCTTCAGTCCCTCAAAGGACATCCATCAAACACCAGCTCTGTGCTAAGTACTGCCTACTGCAGGGATGAGGTGCTAAATAAGGTAACCAGGAGCCCTGTCCTCAGAGTCCACAATCTAATGGAGGTGAGAGAGACAAAAAGCAAGTAAACCAGAAATAGTCAAGATAAGAGAAATCAGAGAGAGGATGGCTAAAACACAGAGTCTCCGCATTGGAATGTGTGGGAAGAAAACACTGAAATTCTCTGAACATGCTATTTGTGCTTAGAAAATCCTAATGTTTAATTAATAGTCTCCTAACAGAGTGCTGCTGCTCCTGAGTCTGGTATGCACAGTAGATGATGCCCTGCACCCTGAGGGAAGGGTGGGTGTGCGCGGTGGGTGGGGGGCATTGTTCTCTCTGTCTCTGTCTCTGTCTCTCTCTCTCTCTCTCTCTCGCACTACTTGTTGGTCTTCTCTGGGGTCTGAGACTTGGACCCCTTATACGGCATTCTTTTCAGCCACACTGATATAATAAACATGACAACCTAAACATATACAACAAGAAACTGGCCAATATGTTTTATATTATCAGAAAAGTTTGAAACATGTATATACAAGCACAATGAACCTCACTCTGAGTGTAAATTTTGTATGGTTCCTATACAATGGTTCCTATGGTTCATTCCTATGCAATGAAATGAAAGTAATAAGATAAACACTTTAAAATCACACTTTAGAGTTGCTGTATTAAAAATACTAAATAAGATTTTCAAAAATAATGAAGCATTGTTAATCACATATTCTCAGCTGAAAATTAAAATTAATATTATTTTGGGGAGAAGCAAAATTTTATCTACTTAGTAAAATAAGTATCTTTAAGATATAAACTCTTATATCATATAACAAATAATATATTTAAAACATGGTCCAGAAACATGATGTCTTAATAAAACTGTATTATTAATTTCATGAGCTAAATTTCACCTATCCTTCATCTAAATCAGCCACCAATACAGTAGTCATTTTGGTTATTCTTGGACCATTTAATAAACCATATTTTGCCTTATTAGCAACATGGAAAGAGATGAAATTCATTACCTTTTGGACACATAGACCACACTAACGATCCACTTTCTTCTGACACACATTTACCCCAGGAACAATTGGTGATTCAGCGGTCAGAGCACAGAGACGGTCCCTGTGTGGTGCTCCTTGGCCGTACAGGCCATCGTTAGAACTTTGCCCATGAGCTCACCAGCCCAGGCACGAGCAGCACTTTACACCCACGGGAGACACAGGATCATTCAAAACGAGGGCTGGAACCGAGCCAGTCTGCCAGCAGAGGGGCGCTGCCGCTCAGCACAGCCCAGCCCTCCCGGGCTGTAGATTTCAGGAGAATGACAGTCAGATTCCTAAGCTGCTGCTGTACAGTGGACCGGAGAGAAGCAAAGGCAGGCAAAGGAAAAGAAAACAGAAACACTCCAAGTTTTCTTAGCTGCCCAACGTCCAACCACCTGGCAGGCTGGGGACCGTAAGGGCTCAGTGCAGTTTGGTGTGCCGCAGTCCACAAATCTAAGGGATCCAGAAAGTAAAGGGCCATCTTTCCACGTGGGAGGTATTCATTGCACATTGGTTTCTTCCTCCACTCTTACAAGTGGAGGGCAATCGTGGTCAGAAATGTCATCTTCAAATACCGAGGGCAGTGACAAGCTGGGAATTCGTTTTGGGAGCAGTTTTCTCACATGTGAGATCTGGCCTAACAAACAGAAGTAAATTCATCACTTTATAGCATCCATGATCTTTATGTTAAATAATTTTGTGGGAAAGAAGATTTTTAATGAGAGTAACAACTCATGTTCAGAAAATATATTTATAATTTGCTAAAGAAAGGGTAGGAGGCTTTTGGTTCAAAATGTAAACAGTAGCACATATCAAAGAATGGATAAAAATACTGAGATTATAGTCTTTGTGTAACTTAAAAATTTCTCTCTTGGCATATTTAAACGCTAGTCTTGAGGTTTGTATTTCATGTGAAATTTCTTCAGTCATCTTGAGGGGCTGTTACACACCTTCCAATCTTCCTGTAATTAAGGCAGTAGTTTTGTTGTCATCTTGTCACAACTCATGAGAAAAACTGTGAAAACTCAAGAGCACATCCCGCAGGAAGCCAGGCTTAGACAGCTCTATGTAATCTTGCTTTGCAACTTGAGGCACTTCGTTGCGCTAGTGAATAGTCAGCTACTCCTTTGCCACTAACTACTCTTTCCCCACGAAAGGTTCTCTTTTCTTTTTTTTCTTTAAAGTTTCTAAGAGGCATCTTGTTCTACTTGCTTCCAGAATATTCTGGGAACTCAGGTGTCAATAATCTGGCAACAAATTCAATTTAATTTTTCTAGAATTCACTAAAATTAAGACCTTACTTTCTGGTCTTAATGGAATTCTAAATAATATATTATAAACAGAGCTCATTTGGATGAATTTGTAACTATCCCATAATGTTGGCAATCATGCACTGAGAAATTCTTTTGTAATATTTGATAATGTTTTTTGGTAAAAAAAGAAACAGATTCTGTCACATGGAGAAAGATAATATGGAATTTAAAACAATATATTACAAACCTGTATCTTTATTATTTGAAGAGCCTTAGGCAGAGTCACCTGCACATTAAAAAATATTTTCTTTGCTTATATTATTTTGAAATATTGAAAGCATGCTGTAAATATCTAGAGGTTAAATAATGACCAATAATTTCATTACTAAACCAAAATGTCCTTCAAGGAGAGTTCCAAAGACCTGAATTTATTTGGTTATTATAACTTAGAACAGAGATCTATTATCTACATCACAGTGAACACAGCTGGAAAACAAAATTATAATTGGAGATGTTGTCGGTAGCGAGTGACATTAAATTCCCAAATATAAGAAATCTCACAATGACTTAAATATAAAATTGGGCATGATTGGCAAGAGCACCATGGATTAAAAAGACCTAAGAACTAACAATGACCTGCAATGCCTCTAGGTACTGATTATTGTTCCACAGAATGACTTTCCCTAAAGCCAACATTGTTAAGCCTTCAAAACTATGATTTTGCCTACTTTTGAACTCTACACTTTAATCAACTGACAAGAGCATAAAAGAGAAAAATGGAAACAACGGAAATGCTAGAAAATGGGTGGCAAAGGGAGTGCAAAATGGCTGGGGTTACTTATCCTGTATAAGAGGAGGAGGGTGAGAATAATGTTGAGAACACGTAGTGATTTCGTGTGTATATGGGAGGGTGTATATTAAGTGACTGTCATTGGTACCAAATCTGGAATGTAACATAATTGTTTTAAAATAATCTGTAAAGTTTTTCCCTTAGGAAAAAACTTTTTGATTAAAAAAAAATGCCCTGGGACCTCTGAGTAAGTTAAGGGGAACAAAGGAGACCATATAATTTATTGTTCATGTAATGTATGCAAAGTTAAGTTCTTCACTTAAAATGGTTAGGTGAGATTCTTGGAAGAAATGGGGCATCTGATAAACTTTATGTTTTTTCCAGGACTTTTGTCTTTGTGACAACTGTAGCCAGAGTCTAAATTTTCTTCATTTTACTCATTCCAATCCAGCTTTTTGAGATCTGTAGGTCCATGTGCCTTTAACAAGTAAAAACAAGAAATACTACAATGCCTGCAGAGGCACCTGATTCAGGTTCAGTGTAATTACCTTCCTGCTTCTCTTGCCTCTTCCTGCCAGACTTTACTCCTGACCTCCGTGCGAGGTAATGCATCTATCATTTAACTTTCCGTTCTTTCTCAGCTCAGAACAATCAGTGGTAATCCAACACTAACAGCAAACATCATGCTGTAAAGAACAAGGCTTTCTTCCTTTTTATCTTCTATTTTATTCTCTTTTTAAAATAATTTCTAAATGAAGAAGGACAAATTCTTCCATTTCTGTTACCTGTACTTTTTTTTTTTTTTTTTTTTTTTTTTTTTTTACTATTATGTCTGCTTTCAGGTTTCTCAATGGAATATCTGATGCTGTTCCTTCCAGAGCCTGGAAGAATCAACTTCTGCCTAAAATAATTTTTCCTGTAACATTCATTCCTGCCTGGAGATGTGACACATTTATTTGGAACTTTGGTGACAGAGAAGCTGAGACAAGCACTTACAGAACTGAGATTCTTGAGAATCTGGAGGTTAAGATCTTCAAGAAAGAATCTTAACCTTATAGGAGGCAGAAATTTTTATATTTGAGATTAGAGTTGATGAAAATGCATTTTAACAATTAATGTTATGCAAACCATTGCTAATTTCATATATATGCACATAGCATCAAGGGCTCCACAGAGTGACTGCTGCTGCTAATTGTGACTTCTTCCAAGAATTTTTGACTTTTATTTAAGCTTCATTTGATGCTGGGGAATATTCTCCATCTTTTGAAGAAGTTATGCTTCCTAAGTGATCTCATATATTAAACTGGTCATAGACTCATTCTGATCTTTAGAATAACCTGAAGATTCGGAAATACATTCATGAAGTTAACAGAAAATTCAAAATATGTCCATGGATTTATTTACTTTTTTCTTTCTTACCAATAAAGTACAACATAGAAATAAAGTCATGGTTTAAAATGAATTTTATTTATTTTTAAAAGCCACATTCCCTTTCAGGTTAATTTTTCCTTCAATTGAGTTTTATTTCATATTTCCTTATTCTTATGGTTTTGGTTGTCATAATTTTATCATTATTGTCCTCCAACTCAAAATGGTACCTATTTTTACTCTATATACAGTTAATATTCATTTTGTTTAAAGATAAATTATCAACTTCACGTTTTCAAATTCTACTCTTAAATATTTTCATGAAATAGTTCTAAAGGCAAAAAAAACCTGTAAAGGTCAAACTACTGAATCATTTTACTGCCTTTGTACACTTTCCACTTCAAAGGTTTTTCTATTTAATGCTAAGGTAAAATCATATCTTGATTTTCCCCCCAAATAATTTTCTGTAGTCTATATAATAAATAAAATTAAAAATTTTAATTTACATAATGCTGAAGAGAAAACTGTCATCAGATTTGCTTATTAGTTTGCTTTTATTTAGATTCAGCTTTCAAGATGTAAGAAGCATTTTCTCTGTTCCTCCTACATGAATATTTGTGAATTGGCTGCCACCAAGTAGCAGGTTGTATTATAATGTATCATATTCATACCTTTAAGGCTTCTTTCATCATTAAAGGAGTCACTATCTTTAATTTTTGTGAGGGGCTTTAATTATTGGTGCTTATTTCATATTTTGATTAATTTTGGTTTTTAATTTCCACTACCTGTCATGGCATGTTTTGTCATGATCTTTCAGTTGGGTGCCATTTTAATTATTATTCAGGGATTCATTTTCTCATTTATTATTACCTCAGTCCTTTTAGCTGCTTTGAAAGGGCTAATATCAACTTTCAAGGGTAAAGTGTGAAGAACAGATTGCCTTCACACATTGATAATTTTGAGGATTACAAACAAGTTTAAAAATATGATTTCCATTAGTGCATTTAATAAAATTTGCTACAATTTAAGTAGTATAATCCTTGAAATTTGCATTAGCAAAGTCTTAAGAAACCATATGGTGTACATCAGTAGGTACTAATGATATCTACAACTAATTTTAATTTACAGAAAGCATTTTAAGTGAGAGTAATGAAAAAAATTACCGAAGCTCTTTTCTTGTAGTATAGCATCATTTGGTCATGAAGTGGTGTTAACCTTTGGTCTTGGGTGGAGAAACTATGTTTTATAAATTAAAAAAAATACTAGTAATTATATATGGAAGTATCTTGGCAGAATAAAAATAATCAGGATTTTAGTTTTAAAAGAATTGGACTTGACTCCCTACTCTGACCATTATTGGAGAAGTTGTATAAACTGCCTGTGTTTTAGTTTACATATCACTAAAATGGGGACACTTAACTCTAGCAAGGTTGGGGGTCCTCTTTAGGAAAAGGAATTGTAATTTACATATAAGAGAAACTAGAATTACTGAATGACTTAAACATGCTGTTCTATTATTTTTATACTACATATACTGACTTATTAATTAACATACTCTCTCAGGCCATCTCAGGCTGTTGAGAATTACTGGTGGTAAATTTGCATGCATTTCCTTTGGAATTGACAGGCTTTTTTCAAAACAAAATGAGTCAAGTAGATTAAGAAGTGATTCAGTATGCTGGGATGCCCTTGACATGAGGTTCTCCACATAGCACGACTGTAAGATTTTAACCTAAAAATACAGGAATTTGATAAATTCCATTTTATGTTATTCCCATCAAAAGAACAAGAAAAACAAAAATGCATGTTGGGCTTATAATTATATTTGCTGCATTTCTGAGCATGTTCCTGATATGATATAATTTCCATTTTGACTAGGGATCAGTGAGACATGTGCCTTCCACTAATACTTTCACAGTTTTGATGACTGGAAGAGGTTTCCACAGAGTAGATTCTCTGCCTGTGCATCTCCAATCTAGTTTGTCCTCTATTGTATACATCCTTCTGCTTCCGGAGCCACAGGACTTGGTCACATCATGACTGGAACTCCAGATCAGCTGCTCTGTTTGACCACTCTGGGTGAGTTGGCACAGTGGGGATGAAGAATGTTCCCAGAAGCCATTCCTAGTCCTGGATGGTTAGCAGTAAATTAACTCCTCACACAAGTAATTGCTAACCATGTCAATGTATCCTGTAAAGTCAAAACTAAGGTATTTCCAGCTCACC